CAGATGTTCGTGTAGCGACCAGGACAGATGGCTTAACTTGGAACTTGGAAGGGTCTTAATGTATTAAGAAATGGTCACCCATCTATGTGCTGACCTGGATTGCGTAACCTTTCAATGTGTTCTACTCTGTTACCACTTAGCCAAGTGATCTTTTGAAGTAATGATATTTATTAAAATGACTTCTCATATGCCTAATACGGCAGACGAAGATACTATCAAAATTTATATAATGTTATCAGACTTCTTAAAGTTTTCTATGGTATTAGCAAAAAAGCAGACGGTTCACCTAATGATAAGTGAGTACCGGCAGCCCAGGGACGGATACTTGCTAACTCAAGTAATTTTATATGTAAAGAAGACTAGCTTTTTCCCGTGGCTCTGCCCGTGTGTATGTCGGTTATCGCGATACTAGGAAGCCATGGTTTAGTGGTTAAGGCTAAGCGTAACAAACAAACATCATCATCATCAACAGCCTTTACTAGTCCACTGCTGGACATAGGCCTCTCCTTAGAAAGGAGGTTTTGGCCTACTATACTACGCTGGCTAGACGGGTTGGTATAGGGTTTGTGTTAAGTTTTCCTTCTCACTGCAGTGCTGTTGTCTTGCGTAGTTTGCTCCCTTAGTCGCCTCTTACGACACCCACGGGATGAATGGGGTGGTGACATTCTGTATTCTTAATCCGTCACCACACGGACTACACAAATGGACTACAAACAAACAACCAGACTTACTTTCACATTTAGAGTATGGATTGTATACGATGTGCTGTCAAGGTTCAAATAACTGTAAAACTTGTTAATACGTAGTCAATAAATCCTATCTGTCTGATATCTGTCCCTGCTTTTAAAAAAGTGCAAATGTCTACTACGGCCCAGTTCAATACATCACGATAAACAAAAATGTATCGGTGTATTGAACCAGAACAAAATCAATTCCACTCAACCGTTAAATCCATTACTTGGGTGACTAAATGCCAATTTTACAAACAATCACATGGACGCTCTGAAATTGGATTACAATTTTAAATATTTGTTTAAACCATGTAGGATTAATTTTACTGCATATTTAATAATTTAATAATTTTAGGGAATATCCGGGATAAGTGGGAGTAAGTCCGTGGGAGAGCCATGTTTTGGCACAAATAGGCAGGTTCAAATGGCCTTACAGGAAACCGGTGTTAGTGAGTCCAGAGATAGGGCCCTACTGGGGGGACTTGAAATAACATGGTCCGGGTCCTCCTCGGAGTAGATTGCCTTAGACCGGCTTTGGGGTGGTTTTAAGTGGGAACACCTGGCTCCTGCGTAATGCGATTTTCCACCCCGTCAACAAAAAAAACCTCAAAAGGGGGTAACGCATTTGTAACTTTTGAACAGTAGTGTCAGCTGACCCATCTGCTCGTTACCCCTCATGGCACAAAAAATAGCGTAGGGAAAAGATAGATAGATGATATTAAAGATGATTAATGACTTCCTCGATGGTGCAGTGTTAGTGAATGCGACTGCTGTACTGAGGTCTCGGGTTCGATTCAAGAGACGGTCCAAATGTATGCATGATCTTCATCTTTATCTGTTTGCATTATTTCCGGTGTTTTCTATGTATAATATGTATATATTTACCATTGTTTTGAAACTAGATGGCGTTGTTGATCGTTGAAAAAAAAAATAAGATGAAGTACGTTATTATGGTTTTCTTGGAAAAGACTCAGGTATACTCATGAACTTTCTGGCACTTTGCAGAGGTAAATAAGTAAATGAGCTAATTTTAGTACAACGATCGGTTAACTGGTTCAAATACGAGCTCGTGCAAAGAGAGAAAACTATCCAAGAGATAAGTTAATCTCAGTATTTAAAAGGTTATTCTAATTAAGCTTAAGAAAGTAGGATTATTTGGAATCTTTATATAACACTTCATTTCATAGAATAAGAATATTAAATATAAACATAATCAAATATTGGTAAATAGGTACCTACCCTTTCTTTTTCCGTGCGGAAATCCCCTTGGATACCACCTATCTATATATAGAGGTAAATAGGTACCCTAAAAAATATTTATATTTTGAGACACTTGAGACTTCGGAGAACACCAAGTTTAAATACTCGAATACTTATTCAAAGTCACTACGAAAACCTTTTAAAGTTCTGCCTTTAAATAAATCTAGTTTGACTAATACGCGACAGAGGCTCGGTCTTATATCGAAATCTCCAAACGACCTTATCTAAACCAAACGTAAAGATAGTCAACGCGGGCCTCTGCACATAGACAAAGGATCGAGGTCTTTTGGACCCTTGGGGGAGGTCGCTGGATTAGCATACGCGAAAATAATTTACATATTATAACTATTAGTTGTGTGTTATTCGAGGATTTATGTACGTTCTAGTTGCTATTGGATCATCATTACACCTTCAACCTAGCATGATGTTATGGTTAAAATCTTTAATTCCAATTCCATTCCAATTCCAATTGCATTCCTGCAATGAGTAGGAGTGATTTAACAACAAGGGACGGAAGTGTGTGATGAAGTCCGTGACGGATGAAGAATACGGGTTGTCACCACCGCTATTCATCCCGTGGGTGTCATAAGAGCCCACTAAGGGAGCAAACTACACAGGACAACAGCACTGCAAAGAGTTGTTGTTGTCGTGTTTTCCTTCTCTCTGCAGTGCTGTTGTCCTATGTTGTTTACTCCTTTATTCGGCTGCTACGACACCTACAGGATGAATAAGGGTGGTGACATTCCGTATTCTTAATCTGTTACCACACGGATGGTATCCTTTTACAGTTCGTATTACTTCCTCCTTTACCATGGTACAAGCTTTCTGTCCACCAACTTAGACAATATAATGCGCATCCCGTACCCATTTAAAAGGTTTTCACACAGCAGTATTTTAGAGTTTTTTTTTTTTTTTTTGGCCGTGGTGTATTACTTTATGAAATATAGTCATCGAAAAACAAACGTAAAATAGCTTAGACAATAGGTAGTCGTTAAATATTAGTTTCCATTCATAAATCTAGAAATTAAAAGTTTTTATTAATTTTAAAGTGTCCATTTTTTTCTTGTGTACTTTTTTTTCCGGAATAATATTACGTTATTAGTTCAGTTAAAAAGAATAGATGCCGAGTTTTGTTTTGTTTAACGTTCCTTATTATAGTTTTGTCTACGAGATGTTGCGATTTTTTTTTATTATCAACAGTTCACCCAAAGCTTACAGTTTCATATTACCTATCAATATATGGATTCGGTTACCGACCTAAATATCACACAAATTGTGAAATGTGTAATCCCAATTTTACCGTTTGCTCTAATAAAAAACCCCCTTCCTCCACCGACTATGTAAACGACACTACACGATTATGTAAAAATCGGACACAGCTGTAATCTCCTCATATTTTTGGTAAGCGTATATTTTCAATTTTGTGATGATTGGATTGTGGTACTGTTTTACATACCGAATATATGACTTTGAAATGTGGATGTGGAACGTTACTTGACAAAGTTTAACTTGAATGGTGTAACATATCTTCGCATTTAGTTTAATTTACTTTTTATTCATGAATCACAGAGATATTTGAATACTATTATATGTTTTTTTTCCGTATCCGGTGCTCAAAGTGTCAACAACTATAAGTCACTGTGTCGTAAACAAATTGCAATTAAAATTGGCTAGAGATTACATTTCGCCACATAATAGGCTCCGAAACAAGAGGAATAGTGCACTGCAGTGTGTAAACATATCAAAGCGAACATATTAGTGAGGAATTGAACAAATCAACACGGCATTAATACCAGGAACTTTTGGAGGTTAGTTAAAACCATAGCCAAATAGAACAACTGTCAGCCGAATATCATTCATTTATCAACTGTCATTCAGTCACTCACCGGGGTTACCAGCGGAGAAACAATCGACTAATTAGAAGAATCGATTAATACGTTCTGTCACACAAAAACAAAGATGGACGAACAATTCCAAATGCTATTTGATAACATGAAAATGGAAATAAAAAATCAAACCATTGAATTAACAGAAACCATTACTAAAAATATCATGAGTAGACTGGAAGAAAAGTTAAAACCAATTACAGAAGAAAACAGATTGCTAAAAACAAAGTTAGAAAACATGCAGGAAGAAATGGATCATTTAAAGTGGGAGAAAAGAAGTAAGAACATAGTGATTTTTGGTTTAAAAGAAGTGGAGAATTCAACCTCAGAGTTATTAATGAAGGTTAAGGAAGTATTCCAACACGACGCACGAATAGTCATTGAGGAATATGATGTCAACAATCTATATCGTATTGGAAAAGCAAATAGGAATGATAAACCGAGACCGATCCTTTTTTCCTTTGTTAGTTATATGAAGAAAACCGAAATATTAGCAAACAAAAAGAAGCTGAAGGAAATTTATATCACCGAAGACTATTCAAAAGAAGTTTTGGAACGAAGAAAAGCCTTACTGTCTAAATTAAAAGAAGAAAGAAGTAAAGGAAATATTGCTTATTTAAAATATGATAAGTTGGTGATTAAAGAAAATATTCCGAGTAATGAAAAAAGGAAACGAGAATCATCAACTTCTCCACAAAACGACTTGCAACCTAGAAAACAACAGAATCTAAATGCCTCAAAAACAAACCGAATAAATGCATTTGATGTGATGAGAGGTAGATCCAATTCTCTGTCAACTCTCCAAGGAAATAAACAATAACAATTAATTATCGGTAATCGGAAAATAAAACAAACTAAAGCAACAATACAAACTACAACAACACAACAAAATGAACTAATAGATAAGGATATAACAGAAAAACGTCCTCCCCCAACCCGACTGGTCACCGTGGGGGAAAAAGACCACGACCCTCGAAGGATAAAAATAAATAAAAATTCAGCAAAAGAAATAGATATTCATATATCTACATTTAACACTCGATCTCTAAGAACGCCCGAAAGGCTTTTTGAACTACAGGAAGCACTAGAAACTATAAATTGGGACATAATAGGAATAAGTGAAATGAGACGCCTAGGAGAAGGAGTAGAAGACTACGGGAAGTATATCTTACATTATAAAGGTGAAACACCGGGACTGTACGGAGTCGGCTTCTTAATCAAACAGGAACTAATGAGGAATGTAGTGGAAATTAAGGGTATTTCAGAAAAAATTGCGGTCTTAAATATAAAATTACCTTTACACCATGAAAAAGATACAAATTGGTCTATTATCCAGGTATACTCCCCAACTGAACCGAAAAATAAACAAGGAATAGCAAAGATTGAATTATTTTACAAGGATTTACAAACCACAATACAGAACTCATGCAAAAATATCATAATAATGGGGGATTTCAATGGACAAGTTGGAGTTTGTAATCCGGGAGAAGACTATACGATAGGAAAGTACGGATATGGGAAAAGAAGCAAGAATGGCGAAAGACTAGTCACACTGGCATTAGAGAATAAATTAAAAATTCTAAACACCTTTTATAATAAAAAAATATCAAGGAAATGGACCTGGATCTCCCCAAATGGATCATATAAAAATGAAGTAGATTACATTCTATCCAACAATTTTCGAGTATTCAAAAACATATCAATAATAAACCAATTAAATTTTAATTCTGATCATAGAATGGTTCGAGCGACGATAAGAGGGACACGTATTAAGAGAAATAGAAGGTTACAGAACAAAGTGAACAGTCTTATCTGCCTGGGGAATAACGACAAGCTATTAAGTTGCCTTAAAACACGTGTAAATAGCATTGAGCAATGCATATCAATACAAGACAAATACGATAGCTTGCTAAACATATTGAAATCAGAAACGACCAAAATAAATAATGAAGCCAAAAAGAAACTACTCTCAAGTAAATCCAAACAACTGCTAGAACAACGAAAAGAATTAATAAAGAAAGGAAAGGAGGGTAAGAAGAACAGACAGAAAATAGCAAGCTTAAGCAAGGAAATTAATGAAAGCATTAGAAGAGATCATAAAACTAGGAGGCAAAATACACTAAAAAAACATATAGAACGAAGTGGAGGGACTAAAAAAGCTTTCAAGGAATTGAATTATAAAAAAGACTGGATGCTACATCTAAAGAACAAGGACAAGGATTACACTAGCAAGAGACAAGAAATACTAAGAATTGCCACAGAATTTTATAGAGAACTGTACACGGAGAAGCAGCCGGAAGACAAAGAGAAACTTGACACTTGGCTTAACCCAGCACCGGTGCCTTTCATTTTAACGGAAGAAACAATAAAGGCTATAAACTCACAAAAAACGGATAAAGCTCCAGGGTCGGATCAGATAACTAATGAACTACTTAAAACTACAGCATCTGTCATAGCTCCGATACTAACAAATCTGTTTAATGAAATTTTAAGAACTGAGAATATACCTCCTGATTGGATGAAATCAACTATAATATTACTTCACAAGAAGGGGGATAAAGGGGACATAAATAACTACAGACCGATAAGCTTAATGTCCAATATTTACAAAGTGTTTTCCAAGATAATTCTGTCTCGTATTGCAAATGTATTGGATGAAAACCAACCAAAAGAGCAAGCAGGGTTTCGTAGTAATTGTTCTACAATTGAGCATATCCATGTTCTTAGACAGGTCCTGCAAAAATATCGAGAATACAAGAAAACGTATTACATAGGGTTTGTGGACTTTCACAAGGCATTTGATTCCCTGGAACATAAATACATATGGAAAGCCCTGAAATGCCAAGGGGTTCAAATGAAATACATCAGAATCCTGAACATTATTTACTCAGGAAGCACAGCCCAGGTGAAGCTCGAAACAACAGGAGAACCATTCCCAGTCCAAAGAGGAGTTCGTCAAGGAGATCCGGTTTCACCAAAATTGTTTACGGCGGTTCTAGAGATGATTTTCAGAAATCTTGAATGGGAAGATATAGGTCTTAACATCAATGGCCAAAAATTAAACCACTTGCGCTTTGCTGATGACCTAATACTATTTTCTGAAGATTCACGGCGATTAGAACGAATGCTGCAGCAGTTGGCTGAGGAAAGTGCTACAGCGGGGCTGTCAATGAATATAAGCAAAACAAAAATAATGACTAACGCTCAGCAATCAGATTTAGATGCTATAATGGTTAACGAGAAAGAAATAGAGTATGTTAATGAATACATATATTTAGGACAATTGATATCACCCCTTGACAACATGCCTAAAGAAATAGATAGAAGAATAACAATGACATGGAAAAGATTTTGGAGCCTTAGTGAAATAATGAAAAATGAGGAAATGTCCATAAAAATTAAAAGAACTGTATATAACACTTGCATACTCCCGTGCTTAACTTATGGATGTCAAACATGGGCTTTAACAGATCAGCTATCAAATAAAATAAAAGTGTGCCAGAACAGCATCGAACGAAGTGTAATAGGATTAAGAAGAAGGGACAGAGTGAAATTGGAAACAATTAAAACAGAAACTAAATTCAAAAATGCGCATATCGTTAGTAGAAGGTTAAAATGGCGTTGGGCAGGACATATGTTACGGGATACGAAAGAAAAGTGGACAAAAATAATAACAGAGTGGTGTCCTATGGGCGACAAAAGAAATAAAGGGAGACCGTGTAAACGTTGGGAAGACGACTTCAGACAAATGGCGGGCGCTAAGTGGACCCGAATAGCTAGGGATCGAACCGCATGGAAGTCCTTGGAGGAGGCCTTTGTCGAGAGACAAGCTGCTACACACAAAGAGATTACCGATATACTATAATGACCACAACGGTGTAACAAGTATAATATTAATGTAAATAGTATAACATTTAAGAAAATATTGTAGAGAGTAACAGTAATAAAGGCTCATTTTATTTTATTTTATTTATTTATATATATTTTTAACACACTTTTATTAGCTCGATATAAATGTATTTCTATGTAACGGAATCTTCGAACGTGATTATGACCCACTTCAAAACTGCGAATTAAATTGAAACTTCCCAAACTTATCAAGGATCGATGACAATACAATAATTTGATAAATTTGGCTTGTCATCCTGATTAATGGCTTTTTTCATACCTAAAAGTACGGTAGTGTCTTTTGCTACGTACTAAGAGGCGTGTGATGAAGCATATGTAACTTACTTACTTGTTACTTTTTTAATCTTAATGATAAAATAATCATCACTAGTGACTAATAGAGCAAAAATAAATTATAGTTTGAAAAAACTAAAAAACGTGCTTTTCTAACTGCCGAACTAAAATATTTTTAGAACAATTGGGATCTAGCACCCCTCCTTTCTTTTTGAACTTATAATATTGTGGAGGAACGGGTGTCATGTCCTTCCAACACAAAGGGAGGATCCTCCGACCAGGCGAGGTGATCATGCCTGGCGGGCCACGGCCCAACGGTTCTCTCTCGAGTCTTCACAACGTCCCGCAGGGGACGTGCGGTGGCTGGATCGGGGCTTCGGCCCCCTGCCAGCGGTGTCTACCGCAGCCCCTAAATAGGGGCAGGTCCTGGGCTTGTAGTCTTGACTGGTAGTCGCTTGTGTTGTGGAGGGGTTGCTTCAGTCTTCACGCCGCCCCGGCGGTCAAGCCCGAGCCAGGTGAGACCCCAGGCGATACCTGGGGAGGCCCAGCTCCGGGCGACCAGCGACAGGGGCGGCGACTTACGTGCAACCCCTCTGGTGTCTAATCCGGGAGTGGCGCCTCGCACCGCTGTGCGGTCTGCGGGGCGCTGTCTTCTTTTTCATTGTTGCGGCGGTCATCGCCGCCCCCGCACGATGTACCTACTTGAGCCAAGTAGGCGCAGGTGCTCGTGGGCCGGGGGTGGCCGCAGCAACACTGTAACAAGTAATTAGGTGTTAAAATAAATTATTTTAACAACTATGTTGGCCGCCCATGGGCGCGTCGAAGGAGCACGGCCTTTTTAGTTAGGCCGCGGGCGTTCCAGTGTATCACCCTCAAGGGCTTACTAGCCATGTAGCTGAGTAATTAGATCGGCTATACCCTTGAGGGTGTTGTGCAGGATGGTGGTCGCGTCTTGGTCACTACTAAGAGCTGTCATCACCACCTGCATAATGCTCATTAGGACGGCCTGTATTTCCGTCTTGTTTCCTTCACTGGTTGTGGTTGTAGTCGTCCGCTTATAGGTACTGGTGTTTTTTTTGCGTGCCTTCACTGTCGCCCTCTTTTGGGGGAGGGGGGCAGTGGTGACGGCTGGGAGGATGGTGGGCTGATCGGCGGACGGCCTCTCCGCGGCTCGGTCGGCTTTTGGATCCTTTACGGGGGCGGTGTGCGGCTTCCCTTTCTTGCCGCCCCTCTTCCTTCGCCCTCTTCTGGAAGAGGTGGATGCTCCTCTGGGTGGCGGGGGGTTTGCTGCCGCCATGAGAGACTCCCCTTGAGCCTTCTCCCCAATGGGCTGTGGGTTTACCGGGGCCGGCCTGCGGCGCGACTCCCCGGTAATGGCGACCGTCCCCGCCTTTTTGTTGCGCAGTTCGCGCTGAAAGACGGGGCAGTGTGTGTTATTTGCGGGGTGCTCCCCCCCGCAGTTTGCGCACGTAGCGGGCTCCTCACGTGGTCGCGGGCAGCTGGCGGCGGGCACTGTGCAGGCCTCTTCTTACCCCGCCAGGCTTCTATTTTAACGCCGGGGATGCCTAACATTTCGTCTATCTCATATATCCCCGGCGTGATGTTTGGAGTCCTCTTTAATATCGCGAGGAGGATGCACCCTGGTCGGTCGCCGCGACCCCGAATGTTTCTCACGTATTCGGGGTCGTAGCCCAAGTCTCGCAGTTCTTGCTCCACCTCTTCCGGCGTCGCATTGCTTGGAAGCCCGCGTATGGCCACCTTCAGGCTTCGCTCGTCCGGTAAGGAGTAAGTGAACCACGATATACCCTCGCTTTTTTCCAGCACCGTTAGGTACCGTTGGACGAGTCGGTATTCGTGGTCCTCCTTCGGGGTGAACCTGATGCCCCTTCCGTAGGGGCGGGCGTTTGCTGCCCTGCCGAGCCTCTGCTTCAACTCCCGCATGTGCGTAGCTCAGTTCGGCAGGTGCTCCACGATTATCGGCGGATAGCGGCGCACTGGCGCCGCGGTTTTCGTTGTCGTGGCGGCGGTTGTTTCGGTGTTTTGGTTGGATTCTGTGGTGGAAATGGGCGGTGGGGACAGCACGGCCCCGGCGTAGGTGACCGCCTGTCTTCCCTCGTCTTGCTGCTGCCTTCTGGCCACCCGCGGGTCGCGCTGTGATAGTGGTGGCCGCGCGCGGGGGGCTGGGCAGTGGCGTTTTGTATTGTCGCAGCCCTCTTCTTCTGGGCTGCGCTGTCGTCGTGTGGGAACAGGCGGCAGTGGGGTGTCTATTGTTGTTTCTTGTTGTCCTGCGCAGTGGTGCACGTTTCGTTGCATTATCTTGTGCAGTGGTGCATCGCGCGATGGTGAGCGTGAGGGCGAGCGGGGCGTGTCCTCCTGTGAGCCCCCCGCCGAGTGTAGTGATTCGGTTGACGGGAAGGAGTATAGTGCTTTGGGGGCCGGTGATTCCATGGCCGCATAGCGCGGCGGGGCGGCTCTTTCGCGACGCGCCGGTGTGTGCGTCGCGGAGCAGTCGCTGGAAGCCGATTCCGACCTCCTTTCTTCGCGGCGTGAGGCGCGAGAGGTCGGTAGGGGGGCCATTTGTCGTGGCCGACGTGCTGGTGCCGGTGTTTCTTCTGTTTGAGGCGCAGGAGTGCGGTGCACACCCGTGTGCTCAACGCTGGCGAGTGCGGAAGGCGCTCGAGCCGGCGGAGCGCAAGGGGCGCTTGTGCCTCGTGATGCAGGTGTTAACTTGCCCTTTGTAGGGCTGGTGGTGGGTCTCGGCATGGCTAGCGCTCATGGGAGCGCACGGCCAGCCTTTGGTTACGATGGTGGCTTGTGTTTGTTTTATTGGCGGCGCGAAAAAAAAAAATTTTGGAGGGTAGTTGAACAAAAACCTCAGAGTTCTTCGCTAACAACCGTTAGGGTGGCGGTCGACCCGCTATTACGTTAGCACTGAGATTCCTGTCCAAACTTTTCGGGGACGCGCGTGCAGCCGCGATCACACGGCCTTAGTGGCCGAGTCTTCTTTCTTCTTCTTCTTTGAAGATCGCCCCGTACGGTACAAGCGTCGCAGACTGGGTCAGCGACACTTATCCCGCGCGGTGCGATGTGATTTTGTTGATCCGTGCGGCGAGTTGGGACGTCCGTTCTCGGTGAGCGCGTAGCGAATCCGCCCAACGGTTGATGTTGGGAAGTTGTAAATATGCTAATCGGCGAGGGAATTCTTTATATCGCGATACAGGATTAGCAATTCTTATTTTAGTAGTTACTCCGTAGTTCGGTGTGTCTTCATTAGATGGCGCTTTAGTATGTTTCTGTTTCTATGTATGTGGGAGTCGCCACAATATTATAATATAATTAGATTATTTTTTCAAATTATTTCAATTTTAAAGTTTTGGTGCCGATTTAGGCCACTTCTTCGACATATACATGTGTGTATATATATCTTTATGTGCTAGGGGAGTAAATGTGAAGGCGGGTCACCTAATGGTAAGTATATTTAATGAACCGACTCTATCTACCAGTAATTATTAAAAACAGTGACCATGAGTTTGTTTGCCCTTTCTTCTCTTAAGGCAGAACCCCTTCGAAACGGTCGGTTATTATTATCGGTGTAGATTCCCATACAGAGTTTGTGCCAGCCGATCGTAAAAGGAACCACCTAAAATTTAGGAACTGGCTGAAAAAAAAAGCAGGCCTGCTGCTGGAACTATTATTGCGTATCACCACTGAAGAACTGATGTTTATCCTATGTATGCAATATACATACATACACACATCTTTTATTCCTAAGGGGTAGATAGAGGCGTCCAATAAAAAGTATGGAGGGGGGAAAACCCTACATCTCAAATACGCGACAACGGAGAACATATATTACTGAACCAGTCAATCAGATACCACGCCCAGTACCAATTCGCTGAAACTTCAGGCACTCATAAAAACTATATTCTTGGAGGGAGCACAGCTGTTCAATAGATTACTAGCCGATATAAAAGAATGGGATAAGCTTACGCTGAATATAATTTAAAAATCTATCTCATGAGAAATAAGTTTCTTTGAACTGAACTAAAAGTTATTTATACATCTGTGGCGACTTCCACATTCGATAAAACAAAGAAACATACTACAGCGCCATCTAACGAAGACATACCGAACTAAGGAGTAACTCCTGAATGAGATTTGCTAATCCTGTATTGCGATATGAAGAATTCTCTCGCTGATTAGCATATATGGCCGCGGCCCGCCAGGCATGATCACCTCGCCTGGCAGGAAGATCCCCCCTTTGTGTTGGAGGGACGTGACACCCATTCCTCCACACATCTATGATCGCATTAATGCCCGCTAGCATCGTGATTACTTATTTACCACCGCAGTCATTACGTGTTGGTTTTTGTAACTAAAGTATCGTGATAGTAGTCGACCTTAATCTATGCACGTGTAATTTTAACTCGTCAGGGTGTGCTTAACGTGTCTGAAGGCGATGGGTAGGCGTCTTAATTTTCATATGTCGAATTCTTGATTTTCTAATAAAATCATCATTGTCGTCATCAGCCTATTGCCGTCAACTGCTGAACGAAGGCCCTACAAGGATCGAAAACCATCCCGGTCTTGTCACCAATCTTGTTTTCGATTGGCAACGCCATACGCGCTCGCTGTCGAGAGTCAGTTTCTTTTTATGTTAGAATTGGCAGACGAGCAGACGGG